ATCGCTGTGCAGAGTAGAAAGTTCACATTGTCCAAAAGCATCCACTATTCATCAATCGCATTACAGCTAATTCGCATTAACGAAACACGGGTCATAGCAGAAATATCTGTAGTGGGTTTCCCCAGGGGTCAGTGTTGCAAATGTGTAGTGAGAAAAAGCTTTTTCACACAATGTTTTCTGGAAGCGTGGTGGAGACAGATTCAATTAAGACACTTAAAAGGACCGTTGATGATTATTTGACTGGAATGATTATTTGTGTTCAAGGATATGGGAAAGACAGTGTTATTCACCTAAGTCATAATGGATAATTGGTCCAGATATGAGGCTGAATGGCATTCTTACGTGCTGTAACACTTCTGTGATTCTATGAAAATAATTCACTCTTGCTTTAAGTATGCTGTGGTCACCTCATTTTTTTTATAACTTCTCCTTTAAGGAGTCGAAGCAAATATTCTTCTGAACACTGTTCACATTATGTGAATTTGCTGAAGCACAATTTAGATATTTTCTAACGAGCTTGTTAACAATGTTATTATGGACGTTTGGCACAAGTTGGACTTGAACCCAGGTCTCCTGGCTCAGCGGTAGGGACATAACCTCTGTGCCACAAGAACCCCCTTCAGTATAATCTACACCCTGGATAGGAAATGCTTTTATAATTGAGGTGATTCAAGATATCTTGAAAAGTAAGACAAAATAATTAATTACTTTTGTACAGAAATAAAATATTAATGAAAATCTTGATGAACTAGAAAAGTCCTCTTTTGTCAAAAGATTAAACCTTGGAATTTCCAGACTAATTTTCCAGTTTTTGTCTAAATAGTAAAAATTGGCTTAAAGAATTATTGTTAAGGTTCTGTCTGTCTAAAATGACCATTATAGATTAAAATAAGTATCTGTTTAAGAATATGTGCTTCATGTAATTACAACATAACAAGCAATTATGTCACTGAGAACTCTTTGCAAGAGATCCTTTTCTTTTCAAGCCTTTTCAGGGTAATATTGTGTTAGGACAAAAGAAAAATGTTTCAGTTTATTACAGAACTATTTTCATCTAACTTATCTAATAAAACTTGCATGAATATCACCAGTGCCCTTTCTCTCTTGGAGTATGAACAGCCCATTTGGCCCTTCAGTCTGTTCTGCTAAGACTAACCTGTAACCTAACTCTGTACAGCTGTCTTTGCCCCTGATACACTTGAGTAACAAAAATCAGTCAACTTCAGGATTAAAAATTAATAGATGATTAACATCCACTGATGTTCATAGAATTGACTTGCAAATGGTTATCTTTGCATACAGCGGTGTTGTTTCTAAACTTTATTTGACATTCTCCTAGATGGACCCTGTTTTTTGCTTCATTTCAAAAGGTGCAAACTTATATAAATGACTCAGTGTGCGTCTGATTTAGTCCAGCTAGTAAGTTTCAACCAAAGGCATCCAGTACTACGATCAACCCGAAGGGCAAAACTAAACTTGATCTCCTTTGACCAGTTGTCTGCTTTAGCTGTCTGTGCATTCTAATTCAGTGTTTTATTTCCCCCCATAATCCTGTACGTGATAATGATTACCTAATCATCTCATGTTCTCGTCAATGCCTCAATTGATCGTACCTCCACCATATTTCCAGGCAATGCATTCCAGATCTTAACTACTTACGTGCAAAAATTTGTTTCACCTTGCATTTACTACTTTTCCAAAACACACTGAAACTAAGAATCACAAAATATTTAAGTGGGAGTTGGAACTAAAACTTAAGGGTCAACAGTGATGGGTAATCAGTGGAGAAATTTGTTTGCCAATCCATGCCAAAGCTGGATTATGTTACCTACTAATATTGAATGAGTTTTAAAACATGCTGCCGGTACCCTAGCTGCCGATCAACACTGATACGCAAAGCTCTTCTGACATCAGCCCAAAGATTCCCTTTCATAAGCTTTAGCCTGTTCTTCTTTGTTCTGGTGGCTTACTTGTAAGTTAAACAATACATATATTTGTGATACAGTATATAATTCTAAAGACTTCTGTCTCATCTGTCTCAATGTAAGGATCAAGCTCTTAAGTTCGTTTCCAACTGTGGATGCTGGAGATCAGGATTGAGGCCCTTTACTGAAACTTTCTATGCAATGTGAATATATTTGCTCATAGCTGAAGGGTAATGGTAAATTGGAGATGTTCACTACCGACTACATGAAGGAATGCACCTCTGCCTCAGTTGCAGGCTGTATATGGAACTTGCTGTCTCAGCTGAAGCATGGATCTAATGTACGTGCAAAGGCCCAGTAGCAATAGGCACGCTGATGAAACAAGCCTCCATCTGGCATGATGAGCAGAAATCTCAATCCTTGACATCGTGTTCCGTTCAGTAACAGATGAGTGTTTCTTGACAATTTGGAATTTCTCATTTGACAGTGGCAATTTAGCTGTGTATAAGATTTAATTACAGCTCACCCCCAGCACCCAGACCACTATTAAGATCAAGGCCATTAAATGTATGAAAAAGTGCCAGAAAGAGGGAATATTAGTAGCTAACTCTAGTAAGGGAAAAGTGCAGTAAATCATGTTTTTTTTTCTGCAACAAATTTACTATATCTGAATATCAGAAGTCCTGACAAAACAAAAGTGTGTTTGTTTGCTTCTTTCTAGTCTAAATATGATGAACTGAAGAAAGCTGAAAAAGGGAACAAACAACAACAAAAAGTTCACAAGTATATCAATGCATGTGAATTAGTGATGGCACCTGTGCATGATGCTGTGGTCTCCCTTCATCCTCCCAAAGTATGGGATGACATCAGCCCTCAGTTCTATGCCACGTTTTGGTCTCTTTCCATGTATGACCTTGCTGTCCCTAATTCAAGTTATGACCGAGAAGTAAACAAATTGAAGGTCCAAATGAAAGCAATTGATGACAATCAGGAAATGGTAAGAATCTAAAAATAATATCTTTTCGTGAAATGCTTCTATTTGATTTCAGTGCTTTATGTCACCTGCCTTAAAACTGTTATTGGTCAAAGGCTCGTAATTTCTGTTGTAAAGTTTCATCAGTGTTTAATTTAAATGTTGAAAATACTAATTATACTAGATTATTGTGATTACTGCTCTACCTTCTGGATTTGAGGAGCAGATCATTGTTGGAGCACATCATTGAAACAGTTTAATTTCTTAGAATTACTACTTTAATTAAAGCAAATTCACAAGACTAATATTGTTTGTATTCAAGTGAACATAAGCAACTTTGTGTAGTTAAGTATTCTGAAGTTCAAATGTTAAATTATAACAAGTGGATACTAGTTTTTAGAAGTTTCAGTTTAAACATTTGTCCTTTGCAGTGCTGCATTGACAGCTTTTAATTTTTTTTCCTCAATAAGCCACTAAATAAGAAAAAGAAAGAAAAAGAACGCTGCACAGCTTTACAAGACAAACTCCAAGAGGAAGAAAAGAAGCAGTTGGAGCATGCCCATAGAGTTATGCAGAGATTAAAGCTTGAAAAGGACAACTGGCTACTTGCCAGTGAGTAGTAACAGAGGTTTAAATAACTCAGTACACCTGAGAAAGGTGTCATTGATGACCAGTGTCTGTATGCTAGTTAACATGACAATCTGTTTTAATCTTTCATAAGTATGAGTACACTACAAAAATGCAATGCTGGCATTTCTCACACCAGTTATTTTATGATGTAATGCATGCAGCCAGTAAATACAGCCACCAGATTAGTAGCTGCTAAGGTTCCAAATGCTCAGATAATATTGGCTTCTTACACCTGGTAAAAAGTGTTTCACCTCTGTATCTTCTGACCCTTGGTTCAAAGACGTGATGAATATATTTCATTACCAACTATCTTTTTAATTTACTGTTTCAAAGTGGTGCATCTGCATGTGTTGATATTAATGATTGCAGCTCAACTCTGGTGTTTAAGCAGAACGTAGTGTAGAACCAGGTATTGGTTAGGGTTTGATGCAAATTTGAACATGAGCGGCAGGGTTTTGAATGCTTTTATTGCTCTGCAAGGCTGCCCTTCTCCGTTACAGTTTAGAGATCTTCAAGCCATTGCCAAAATCATTTAATTTCATATGGACTGGGATTTCAACTTGTCTTGATTGTACCGTTACATTTTGGGACATTTAGAGTTGAATTTTCTCCATTATTTAAATTTAACATAACATTTAATGTAAAACTTATATTCCTCTCACGCAATTGTCGATTGTCATATTATTTTCTTCGTTTATAAGACATCTATTTAATTATATTTGTGCTATGTTTTCTCTCAGAATCAACCAAAAATGAGACTATCACAAAATTCCTTCAATTGTGCATCTTCCCAAGGTGTATTTTCTCAGCCATAGATGCAGTTTACTGCGCTAAGTTTGTAGAATTAGTTCATCAGCTGAAGACACCTAACTTTTCGACACTTCTGTGTTATGATCGGGTAACAAAGCTTTGGAACTTCATAAAAACAAAATCAATTTTGATATTTTTGATATATTGCAAATCATAAGGCACATTTTCTTGTCCTTAGGTCTTTTCGGACATTATTTACACTGTTGCAAGTTGCACAGAAAATGAGGCCAGCCGGTATGGAAGGTTTCTCTGTAGCATGTTGGAGACGGTAACCAAATGGCACAGTGACAGAACTATATATGATAAGGTAATCTTCTTCGATGTTTTGGATGCAGTATATTTCCTTGGTCTTGTGTCACATTATTTTAATACTTAGTGAACAAGGAGTTTTCAGTGTAACCATCTGTTATTTTGTCTCAGTTCTAAGCTTCTAAGGTCTTTTTGTTTTCTCTCTAGGAATGTGGAAATTACCCAGGGTTTCTCACAATATTACGAGCAAGCGGATTTGATGGAGGAAACAAGGCTGACCAATTAGACTATGAAAATTTCAGACATGTTGTACATAAATGGCATTACAAATTAACCAAAGTAAGCGTCATCTCTTAAATGTTCAGCTAGAATAAATGAAATCTGTGCCATTGCTGCCATTAGCCTAGCTTGGGGGTAGGTTGGTTGTGGATGGTGAAAATGCGGAGTATAATCTGCACCTAGTTTTGAAAATTGCAAATGATGAAAGTGCCCAGTCTACATCCAGCAACCCTAGAAGAGCTGCTATGCAGTAACAACATGAGTATTTTCAGTAACAGAATGCTGTCAAGCCAAAACAACGTTCTGTCCATCACAAATGAATCATGGGCTCACCTACTGTTTTTAAAAGTTGCATATATTTGTGCATTAGGACATGATTTCTGCAAGAAAAAAGAACATGTCCAGGTATCATGCCCTTCCTGAAATAAACAATTGCCTGGGTTTCGATAGTATTTTGCTGTTTTCTCATGGCAACACCCTGACCAATCAAAGTCGATCTTCCAACCATTTGGCACCTTTTTGTAATGAAGGGTGCATTGTTGCTTTCTTTGAAAATTAACATTCATGTGTTTGTCCTAATGAGTACAACGTGCCAAGTTTCAACAGTGTGTCTCTTTCTTTAAATCAGTGAGTTCTTCCAATTCAAGTTCTGTCTTACCAAGTGACTTTGTGTGTTGAGTCATAATTCTTCGACTATGAAAAATAAATTTTGCATTGGTGGAATATTAGATTTCTTCAAAGATAAATGTTCGTAGATTTTCCACAGAAACAGTTTGCTATTTCACCATTTGACGGTGATTCTGTATGTATGTCCCAATCTTTGATCCCTGTAAAAATATGAAAGTCGAAACTCAGAAAGCTAGCGCACAGGCAGCGGGTCATTGGGAAGGCTAATGGGATAGTGGCCTTATTTCAAGGGGGTTGTAATATAAGAGTAGTCAAGTTTTGCTGCACTTATGCAAGAAACTGGTGAGACCACATCAGGAGTATTGTGAGCAGTTTTAGTCCCCTTATTTATTAAAATAGTTCAGAGGAGGTTCAATAGTATGATCCCTGGTATGGAGGGATTGTTTTATGAGTGAAGGCTAAACAGATTGGGACTTTAATCACTGGAATTTAGAAGAATGAGAGGTGATCTCATTGAAGCTTTAGGATTCTTAAAGAGTTTGTCAGGGTAAATGCTAAGGGGATGTTTTTCTTAATTGGAGAGTCTAGGACCAGAAGGCATAATCTCAGAATAAAGGGCAAAATTTAAGACCGAGATGAGAGGAATTTCTTCTGAGGGTTCAGAGTCTTTAGAACTCCTCGCCACAGAGAGCTGTAGGGGTAGAATTCTTGTGTATATTTGAGGCTGAGATAGATTCTTGATCAGTCAGGGAATCAAGGGATATGGGAAAATGCATGAAAGTGGATGTGAGGAATGACAGATCAGCCATAATCCTGTTGAATGGTGGAGCAGGCTTGAGGGGCCAAATGGTCCACTCTTGTTCCTATTTGCTTTCTGTGAATTTTTCACTGTGATTGAATGCTGTCACCATTGCTTGATGTGAGGGATTCCTCCAATAGATGGCAGTAAAATAATGTTGGGAAAGATTAAATCTACGTGACAGATCTCAATAGGCTTTTGTGGGCAATCTTTGAGGTTAATGGCGGAGCTCGCACTCGATTGACTACATAATCTCTGGCTGTTATTTAATGGAACAGAAGTGATCAACCTTAACAATAATTTTATTGTAATGCTTAAGATAAGAGGGCTGAAAAGATCCCATTCAGTTCAGATGTTTGGATGCTGATCCATATTTAACAACCTGAATAAATTGCTGGTAAAATTGGTTTTGATCAGGACTGTAAACTCGGCAAGCAAATAGATGTTATGTTGGAAGGTTGGTCATTGAAACTTTTCAAATTTGAGATGATCTGGTAACTTTTCTCATCCATATTTTAGGAATTAGTCATTTATAAGAAGGAACTTTGTCGCAGTGATTTGAACTTAAAGGGTTAAAGCATTTTCCTCTGTCAACCTCTCGATTTCACTTCATTACACCATAAAGACTGGTTATATGTCATGATGTTGGGCTTACCTATTTCAACACTATGGTGTGACTTTAGAGTCAATATAAGATACTAATTTGTGCTTTTCCTGCTTCATGCAGGAAATCAAGTAATGCTATAAATACTCACTTATAGTGAACAAATATGTTTTTCTATGCGCTTGCGATCTGGTAGGGTTATTGGCAAAATTTGTATTAGTTTTGGAGCTTCGAATGTATTCTTGTTGGGACCTGAAGTATCACTCAAGTATGTAGTTATTAATTTGTATTTGTATGATTGGGGGAAAAAAGTCCCATTAGAAAATTATTTAGTGAGTTTCTCATATTTGAAATTATATTGCATGTGGGAAAATTTGTTGAACAAATATTAGGTTTTCCTAAATTCAGATGAGCTGTAGCTTTATTTCATGCTTGTTTAATTATTATTACAAACAGTGACGTATTTGGTCAATTTTGTTTAATTGGCTAGGTTTTGAAGAAGTTGAGGTTCACCGTGTCTCTCACTTTTATTTATTATATAGTGTAGGGCAATACGTAACCTCGGTGTTAACTGGAAGTGTTTAACTGGAAGTTAACACCAAGAGGTTAATTAGTAAAGCAGTGGTGGAATTGGTTAAGGCTCCAAGAGTCTTAGAGATTTACAACATGGAAACGTCAGTCGGACTTGTCCATGCTACCCAGTTTTCACAATTCATCTAGTCCCATTTGCCTGCATTTGGTCCATGTCCCTCCATACTTAACCCATCCATGTATCTGTCCAAGTGTTTCTTAAGTGACAAAATTGTGCTCGCCTCCTCGTCTATCTCTGGCAGCCGTTCCGGACACTCACCACTGTCTTCATGGAAAACATTGCACCCCGCCCCCCCCAGCCCTGTTGTATCTCTCCTCTCTCAACATAAACCTATGCCCTCAAGTTTTAGATTCCCCTACCACGGGGAAAAGCTGATGTCTATCTACCTTATCTGTGCAGCTCATGATTTTATAGACTTCTATAAGGTCACCCTTCAGTCTCCTGTGCTCCAGGGGAAAAAGTCCCAGTCAATCCAGCCTCTCCTTATGACTCAAACCCTCCAGTCCAAGTAGCACCCACTAAATCTTTTCTGCACTCTTTCTCGTTTAATTAAATCCTTTCTACAATAGGACTACCAGAACTGCACACAGTACTCCAAATTTGGCCTTATCAGCATCTTGCACAGCTGCAACAAATGTCCCAACTCCTATACTCACTGTTCTGACCAATGAAAGCAAGCATTCTGAAAGTCTCCTTCACTGCCCTGTCTACCTGTGACTCCCCTTTCAAGGAGCTATGAACCTGTACCCTTAGATCTCTTTGTTCTATAATGCCCCCTTGGGCCCTACCATTATTTGTGTAAGTCTTGCTTTAGTTTGACCTGTAATGCAACACCTTGTTTGTCCTTTTCACGCTGGCTTATATCTCAACTTAATTAACATTATCCATTACAAAGATCTGTAACAGGCGTTATTTTTAAAATTCGGGGATGAGCAGATTGTGTGTATTGAACGTGGCCACAAGATTGCTTTTTTTGCTTGCGTGATGAAAATTAACTCTAGCTATATGGGTAAATATATTTAAATACTGCCTATGTTTTACATACAAATAAGGTAAGCCAGAGATCGAAGATGTTGTCTAATTTTTTTTTAAATTTTAGGCATCTGTGCACTGCCTTGAAACTGGCGAGTATGTTCACATCCGGAACATATTGATCGTGTTGACTAAAGTCCTCCCTTGGTATCCTAAAGTATTGAATCTAGGTCAAGCATTGGAGCGAAGAGTGCATAAGATTTGCCAAGAAGAAAAGGAGAAACGACCTGATCTCTATGCTCTAGCTATGGGGTAACAAAGTGAAATCAAATGAATGTGAATTAATACAAATAAGTTAAATGAAAGATATCTGTTTCTTGCTTCAAACACGAGTTCTGAGCTGTGTTAGCTTAGAATTGAATTACTATTTGCCATGAGTAGATTAATAGATTAAAATAATTGAGAAAATCAAAAAAATGGACTAAAATGGCTAAAAATTAAGGGGGGAGTCTCATGTTGCTCGTTGTTTCTGACCAAGTGCCACAGTAATTTCAGGTTCAGGAAAGGCTGCGCTCAACAATGAAATTAACGAATTGTTGTCAGAAAGCATTTTTCCTTTGCTGTCTGATAACTATGGCATCTTACTCTTGTGCATTGAGTGGCATAAAGTTCTTGTACTTGCACTGCAGAAACCAAGTAAATTCATTACAACGAATTATCATGGGGTGATTATTTCATTACTGCCAATGAGCCCCATGTCACTGAAAATTAATTATTATAAATGCGGAGTGTCGTTCCTTTAAGTTTTAATTGTTGGAATATTTTGATCTAAGCCTATCCACAGTCCACAAGGTACAAGTAAGGAATATGATGAAACACTCCCCACTTGTCTTGATGAGTGCAGCTCCAATAATACTGAAAAGTCTTGACACCATACAGGACAAAGTTGACTAGTTGATTGGCATCACAAGCAAAAACATTTAATCCCTCCATTCCTAGTGAGTAGTAGCTTATACCATCTACATTAAACACTGCAGGAATTCACCAAGGTTCCTTAGATAGCACCTTCCAAACCACAACCACCACCATCTAAAAGGATTTGGGCACCTGTAAGTTCCCATCCAAGTAACTGATCATCCTAACTTTGACAGAAGGGCCAAATTTTTCTATGTTGCTGGGTCAAAATCCTGGAATTCCCTCCTATTTGCCATTGTGAGTATATAGCTACACCAAATGCAATGTGGCAGTTCAAGAAAACAGCTCTCTACCACCTTCTCAAGGGAACTGGGGCTAGACAATAAATGCTGGTTATGCCAGCAACACCAACATACCACCACCAACTAAAAGAAAACGTTTCAAGTTATAATGTTTTCATTTTACTATCCAAATTTTCATTCCCTTTGTTTAGTTCTCCTGTATGTGATTTGACTCTTTTTTTTTTGTTTTGTTTATTAATGGGCCATAGGTATTACACACTAGGCCAGCATTGTATTGTCCAAATCTAATTGCTGAAAGAATAATCAAAGTTGACCGATTTTTATTTTATTTTTTTTTGTGGGCCTGGAGTCATGTGTAGGCCAGGCTAGGTAAGGGTAATAGATTTCCTTCCATAATGGATATTAGTGAACCGTCTGTGCTTGTAGACAGTCAACAATGGTTTCAAATTCACCATTAGACAAGTATTTTTTTTACCCCAGATTTTTTATTGAATTCAGATTTCACTATCTTCTATCGTGGGTTTCAAACCCCGGTTCTGGATTACAAGTCCACTTACATTGTCACTTTGCTAGCAATTTACAATGATTTATCAATTTTTCTTTTATTTATTTATTTATTTATTTGCTTGTTTGTTTACTGATTGATGGGCCAAGGGCTTCACTGGCTAAGCCAGCATTTATTGCCCATCTCTAGTTGCCCCTTGAGAAAGTGGTGGTGAGCTGGTAAGAGTAAACCACATTGCGATGGGTCTGGAGTCACATGAGCCAGGCCAGGTAGCAGTTTCCCTAAAGGGGGGATAAGTTTTCCCTGATGATCGACAATAGTTTCATGGTCATCATTGGACTCCTAATTCCAGATTTTTATTGGATTCAAATTCCACCATCATTTTATTGAATTTAATTTCCCACCCCTGGCAGGATTTGAATCTGGGTTCCCAGGATGTTACCTGGGTCTCTGGATTAACAGTTTAGCGATAATACCACTAGGCCATCACCTCCCCCTAAAGTTTGAAAGATTCTGAAATTTGCAGTGCAATCTGATTGGTGAAAGTGATACCAAGTTTCTTTCCCTATTCATTCTAGTCACTAATGTCCTGTAGAGGGTGGAATGCATCTTCCACCTTACACTTCCAGCAACTTGCATCACAAAATATCCTAACATAAACTGGAATGGCAAGTCCAAAACAAGTAATGTATGCTGCTTGACCCTGAACTTTTTGGGCCATTATCTTTATTGAGTCTTGGTAAGATGTAATTTGAAATGAAGACCCTAAGTTCCACAGTTTATGACTACATGCGCTTCCTTCTGAAGGAGAAAATAATTGTTTGAAAATTTTGCTGAACAATCCAGTTTAAAAAAATAAGTCACTAAATGCAATTTACCTTTTTGAAATCTTTGCTCTGAAATTGCCAGGTCATTGAGCAAATGTATGTGCTGCAATAATGATTATTGAATTACTGAGTGAGGCTATTTGGTACAATGAAACAGGTAATTTAGATTTGAAATAAAACTTTTAAATGTGAAACTAGAGCCTAACTTGCACAAGCTGAGTAAAATTATTGCATAAATCATATTTCTTTAGCAAGTGGGAGGTTGAGAATGTACATTTCATATTCCAGGGGTAGCAAGCCCACTTTTAAAAAAAAATCAAAATTTGTTAACTTGACGCATGCCAAGGATTAAATGTGAAACTTGTTCTCATAATTCAATAAGTCTCCTCTTGGTAAAAAGAGGTGGATTATCAAAAGGGCAAATTTGTCTTGTTTTTTCTTGGCATGTTTTGTCTCAGAATTTGTTTCAACCTTTGTAGTGTCATATATGATGAGTCTTGTCCGTTTTATGCCTAGAAAGCTACAATTTCACTTCACTGGAGTTTTCAGTCAGTTTGACCTATGATTTTTTATATTACATGAAATTTTTTTGATCATGGCAACGTTTTTCTGAGGTTTAGCCTCGGCATAACTATAAAAGCAAGCAGTCACTGTGACCCAGAGAAAACTGAAAACCCGATGTTCAGGAATTCCCTTTAAATAGTCCCTTTTATAACTTCAGCTGTCCTAAAGCACTGCATAGCCATGAAAGTAATTTTGAAGTGTAGGCAATGGTGTTATTTATGGAATTGTATCTTCTTACCTAAGCGTAAGCCTCATAACAGCAAGGATTGTTGATGCTTGAATTGGTACATGTACTGAATGAGCAGCTTTCTGTTTATTGTGTGTCTGGAATGCCCTCTGGTGTCATGGGTAACCAAACTGTTTGGTACTAGGTCATTCAAACCAGATAGGCTATTTTTTTGCTGGTTAATGTTGAATTAGCTAATCTCAGCCTTTCAGCAGTTGAGGTGCAAGGAGAAATTTCAGTCAGGCTTGGTGTGCTAGATGTGTTGAGATCAAGTTTGACCATTCATGATAAAGTTTTCTGGTATTATCTCATCTCAAATGCAAAGCATGGTCATTTAGATGATTACTGGAGGTCTGCTGCAATTTATTAGATCTGTATTCTTGTATATTAGTCGTTTTAGGAGAAGAAAGGGAAGAAAATCCTGTTGGGGGAAACGATCTGTATATATTTAACACTAGGTGGCACTTTTATTCCATGCAAAGATGTAATATGCTATTTTCAATGTTTATTATTCACTGAGTGATGGAAAATTTGTCTATAAAATCATATTTTGCCAAAAAAGTTGCAATTTAAAGTACTTTCAGTATTTTTCAATCCCTGTGACTTTTTATTATTATTCCTCAATCAAATGGTTTATATAGTTGTGTTTTTTTATTTTGTTGGCTCCCCCTGAGCAATCTCTTATTTCTTTCAGTTATTTCTGAGTGATATTTAACTTTGGGCAATTAATGTAAGAATAGTGCAGTTTGCTTTCCAGCAGCCTAATTGGTTACAATATTTTTAATCTGTCTATTTGCATAGTGACCAAACCTGAGCTAGCCATCTTGGAGGATTTCGAGTCAGCATCTGTCTTAATTTAGTTGTTTGCTAAACCACGTCTTGACGCATTTAAAGGATTATAAATTGAGAGCAAATACAGCAAATTAGACGTGTATTCCTATATTTGAATTTCCAATATATGAAAAGTGAGTGCATTTTGGGTTTTTATCGATTTGAAGAGTATCATGAGTGTTTTGTAACCTTTGGCAAATGGGACTATAAAATCTTTCAGAGATGAATCCTGGGTCAGAGTTGGTCAAATCCAGCTAGTTTTGAAGACTTGACTGAGATAGTGACCTAAGTCAAATCAGTTAGGGATGCCAAATTTTCAGCAATATATGTTGATGTGAATGCAGACAGTAATAGGGCGCCTGCTTCATGATGCCTCTGGGAATTCTAGAAAAGTTGAAAGCTGTGCCATTCTCATTCAAAAAGAGCTATGTTTGGGTATCAGATATGATTCCTTAAAGTGCTTTGAAAAGTTCCACATTATGTATATGAGGTTTCCACTCAACAGTTAGTGCTTTTGTTTTATATTAGCACATGTTAATTGAATAATAGTTAGGTTATTTTGTAACTCCATTGATAGTTGTCTGCCAAGATATATTTTCTTTGCTTGTTTAACACTTTGTGCGACTTGCAGCTATTCTGGCCAGTTGAAAAGTAGGAAACCATACATGGTTCCTGAAAATGAATTCCACCACAAAGATCCCCCAGCAAGGAGTGCAACGCCTGCAACAGTTCAGAATGGACCAGGCACGGTCACACAACCTCCTGCAGCAGCCACCAATGCAGCTAAAGCGGAAGAAGGCACAAATGAGGAGACTGGTATTTACAATTGCTTGACTGTTTATTCCAATTAAAACTCAATCCACTAATCATCTTTGCTCAAGGTTTCATCAGATTTGTAGTTCAGGAATTCAGGAAAACTATTTCATGGGGCTAGATGTGGAATTCTACACCTGCATTGAATTTGCTGACCTCAGCCAGAGCAACTTGTGATGCTTTTTTTTTTGTTGCATATATGCCTATAAACTATTAAGAGGAAAAATCAAGACAGGTTTTTGACCACTAACAGGCAGCACACACTTATTGATATTGGACAAGGATTGGATAAACATTCACAGTAATGTCCACTGTGATTAACTATCCTTGGCAAAGCAGTTTTACAATGCTAAATGCAGCTTATCAGAGCTATATGGGACAGTTGATGACTGCAGCCAACTTCCATGATGCTTTCCAAAGAGAAATGGAGGGGAAAATTAACAATAATTTATTTTTAACTTGAGCTAAGTTGTAAATTCTTTTGGCGAATCCTGAGTACCTGATATGAAATGAAGCCATTATAAGAATTTAAATCACAGATATGTCATAAACCCACTGAATGGCTGAATAGGCTGATGAGGTGAATGGCCTTCTCCTGCTCATTTTGTTTCAGATCCAATTCGATTTGCATACTGATGAGTCAAGCTTTTGGGGGCCTTTGAAGGAGACGAGATTTCCCAGAAATGCTGAGACACCGATTAACTTCCTGGAGTTGTCATACTTTAGGCCCAGTATTTCAGACAAGCTTAGAGGCCTCCATACCCACCTGAAGAAGCAGCTGCAGGCCGCCCTGTCGCAGGGCCATTGCCCCCAGTCCACAGAGGTTGCCGAGCTGCTGAGGCTATTTTGTTTCTTTTCTTTTCAAGACTTTATCTTCACGTATCATGTTTGGAAATAATTTCTGATTAAATGTAGATATGGAGCACAAATTTGCAAAACAAGACTCACATCTTGAATGGAATGAACTGAAATGTGTGTTTTTATTTTATTCTTTTAGCAGATAAATTAAAGGAGAAATCTCAGAGTGCCATTAAAGTTACTAACAAAGCTGCTAATGCAACACCCAAAGTCACAGCCAGCAATGGAAGTAATGCTGTAAATAGGTAAGAATTTGGCTTTACACTGAAATTGCTGATATACTTTATACTTTATTTAATGGTAACTCATTGTGTTGAAATCTCAAAGTTCTCCCTGTTGTACATTATTTTTGAAGTGAGCTATCAGTTAGGACTGGATTGAAGAGAAATTTCTTGATTCAGAGGCTTGAAGTCATAGAGTCTTACAGCATGGAAACAGACACGTTGGTCCAACCAGTCCATGCCGATCATGTTCCCAAACTGAGCTAAGTCCCACCTGCCTCCACTTGACCCGTATCCCTCCAAACCTTTCCTTTTCATGAACTCGTCCAAATGTCTTTGAAATGTTGTAACTGTACCTGCATCCGCCACTTTCTCTTCGGCAGTTCATTTCCCACACAAACCAATCTATGTGCTTAAAAAAAAAAGTTTCCCCTCATATCCTTTTTAAATCTTTGTCCTCTCACCTTAAAATATGCCCCATAATTTTTAATTCCCCCATTCCAGGAAAAGACCCTTGTCATTCACCTTATCTATGCCCCCGCATGATTTTGTAAATCTCAAAAAGTCAGTACTCAGCCTCCCTGTGAAAAAAGACCAAGCCTTTCCAGTCTATTTTCGTATCTCAACCCCTCCATTCTTAGCCATATCCTGGTAAATATTTTCTGAACCCTTTCCATTTTAATACTTTCCTTCCTATAACAGAGCATTGAGAATTGCACACAGTTTGTGTATCTTTGGAATACACTAAACAGAGGGTTATGGATACTCTATATTCAAGGCTGTAATTTTAGATTTTTAATCCCCCAGGACCAATGGTTATGAGGAGTCGGTGGAAATAGAGTTGAGGTAGAAGATCAACATGATCATACTTAATGGCTAATGAAGCTTGAAGTGTTTTCTGCTGTATTCCTGCTTCTATTTTTTAGTTTTGTTATGAGGTTCCCTATTGGAATACGGTGTGCAGTTCTGGTCCCCCTGCTATAAGAAGGATGTTGTGAAACTTAAAAGGGTTCAGAAAATATTTACAAGGATGTTGGCAGGGTTGGAGGGTTTGAGCTATAGGGAGAGACTGAATAGACTGAGGCTATTTTCCCTGGAGCGTGGGAGGTTAAGGGGTGACCTTACAGAGGTTTATAAAATCATGAGGGACGTGGATAGGGTAAATAGGCAAGGTCTTTTCCCCAGGGTGGAGGAGTCCAGATCTAGAGGGCATAGGTTTAAGGTGAAAGGGGAAAGATGTAAAAGGGACCTAAGGGGCAACTTTTTCACCCAGAGGGTAGTGCATGTATGGAATGAACTGCCAGAAGAAGTGGTGGAGGCTGGTACAATTACAACATTCAAAAGGCATCTGGATGGGTATATGAATGGGGAGGGTTTAGAGGGATATGGGCCAAATGCTGGCAAATGGGACTAGATTTATTTAGGGTATCCGGTTGGCATGGATGAGTTGGACTGAAGAGTCGATTTCCATGCTGTATATCTCTATGGCTGTAAGTGCAATGATAACTGGGTAGCCATCTAGTCAGCCATTCTATTAGTGACACCTAATTAATAATCATGTAGTGCAATACCAGTTTTTTTTAGTGTGTTTAATTGACTCAGGAAATAGTTAAACTTTGTTCTTTAAATAGTACTCTTGAATGTTTAATATCCACTCAAATAAGCCAGTGTAATCTCTCTATCATCTTCCATGAATGGCAATCTCTCAATGCTGCTTGATATATGATCCAAGTTTGAGACCTGCTTGCTTTAGACCTCAAGCAACAGATAAGAATGTTAGAAATTTAGATTTATAATAAATTTCTCGGTAATAAGTACTTCTCAAACAGGAGTATGTTTTCTAATCACTTATAGGATGCAACCCTCACATACTGCCCATTCCTAATTGCATCTTGCTCATTTGGCAGCACTCTCCTTTCTGAATCAGAAGGTTCAAGTCTCACTTAAAGGCTTGAGCACAGAAATCAGAGCTAACGCTCCAATGCAAAATTAAGAGTGTACTTTTTGGAGGTTTTTTCTTTCAGCTGAGAATTTAAATCCAGGCGTCACCTGCCTGTTTTGTTGAATGTAGGGCATCCCACGATTTTACTTAAAAGTGGACCAGGACAATTAATCACGATGCCTTGACCAATAGTTATTCCTCAATCAGCATCACACCAGATAGATAATCTTTTTAATTACATTGCTGTTTTATGGAGATTGCTGTATGCGTATTGACTGCCAAGTTTCCTGCATTACAACGTGACTAAGCTTCATTAACTGTGCAGACTGCTTGTGAGAAGTGCTGTCTCAATGTGGGTGTTCCTTTTAATAGGGTGGTGGTGATTTGCCTTGCTGAATACAACCGAAAGGGACTTTCTAGACTGCTTCTGAGGACAGTTAAAATTTGCTTTGGCTGTGGAGTTAACAAATAGAACAGACCTAGTAAGAAAGGATATTAATGAACGGACGGGCTTTTGAAATTCAGTCGTTTTGTGGACATGACTGATTATTAACTTCTAATTCCACTTTTATTTTTGTTGACTTTACATCCCTAGCTGCCATGATGTGATTTGATCACGTGTGTCATTAGTGCACGATTTTGGGTTATCGGTAATCGGTACTGTAATGTGACCACAATACTGACATATCTTCTTTGTGATTTTGATTAGCCTGCCTTCACCGGAGAAGCTTCCAACTGTATTTATAAGATCTTGAGTGATTTAATGGCAAAGTTTTTATCTAAATTTAGGTTACTACTATATAATTCAGTGAAATATGAGAAATTTACAAACCTAATCCAGGTATCAATTGACAATGCTGAACATAGGTCATAAAAATTGACACTGCTTGCTTACTTGCAAATGATCTTTTCATGACAATAGGGAAATGAGAATGCTTTCATGACATTACAGATTAAAAGAAATTGTTGCTGCATAAAAATGAGAATTTTATTGTACTGCACTCACTGTAAACAGTGATTCATCAATCAGTTATTTTCACCAGACTGAAACCTGGATAGTAAGTATGTCATGAGGAGAAATTGGTTTGACTGAACCTTTATTCACTGGAATTGAGAAGAAGGAGAGGGAATCTGATGAAATGTATAAAATTCTAACAGGGCTGAACAGACTGGATACAGGCATAATATTTGCCCAGATGGGAGGGTTCAGAACAAGGGGTTATGGTCTCAAGATACATAGCAGACCACTTTGGACTGAGATTAAAAATTTCCTTCACTTAGGGTGGTAAACCTGTGGAACTTTCTACTACAAAGGCTGTAGAAGTGAGTTACTGAATATATTTCTGACAGAAACAAGCTAAAGGTGTCATGGGGAGAAAGCAGAAGTCTGGCATTGAGATAGAGGATCTACCTTGATCCTGTTGAATGTTCAGGTGGCCTTAGTGAGCTGAATGGCCTACTGCAATTTTCAATGTTTCTAGTTGAAAGTGAGTTTTTTCATAACGTTGAGTCATCTACTCCATTTCATGTGGAAACTATTTTGATGTACTTCACACTTTTTTTTCCAGCAACAAAGTAACAAAAGAGAAGGAAGAGAAAGAAAAAAGTGGGAAAGAAAGAGACAAGGAGAAGACCATTCCAGCTGTCCCTCCAGAGGCAAAAGCAACAGTAAAAGATGCGAAGGAGAAATTGAAAGAAGAACGGGCAAACAAAGAGGAAAAAGTACGGGAGACCAAGGAGAAAACACCAAAAGCTGATAAAGAGAAGGAGAAAGAGAAAATCAGGAAGGAAGAGAAGCCAGCAAAGGATGATAAATCCAGGTCGACATCCAGTTGTCCTGAAGCAAAGCTACACTCTGAAAAGGAGAAAGAAAAGGAACCATCCAAGGAGAGAGATGCACTAAAGGAAGCCAAATCCAAAGAAAGTCACACAGGCACTAAAGGAGAAAAAGCAGCTGCTGCTGGGTCCTTGAAGTCCCCAGTTCCACGTTCAGAATCTTCAGAGTCTGAGAGGGGTAAGTTTAAGAGATACTGCCTTCTACCTTATTTTAAAGTTGTTTAAAGATCTTGAGCAAGTAATAGGATTGATGTAGTACTGATTCCAACAGCAAAGTATCTACAGTACTTGTTTTGTAACATGACTTTTCTCATGACTTGCTGTGGGCTTTTGGTTGTCATGCAAACAAGATTCAATGGATTTAGCAGAAGTGAGTTACTTTTGTTTGAATTTTGCCAGTCTTTCTAAGAAACTTCTAATATGTCATTTTTGACGTTATCGAAAATATAACAATATGTTCATAGGTAAAATCATGAAAACATAATATGTTTTACTGGAAGACTGCATTGAATTTGTTGAAATATGAAAATGCAAATCCAGGGTGACAATGGAGATAAGTCAGAAACTCTCTTCGATGAGATGGTGCAATCAGGCTCTATTCACCTGAACTAAGAAAGGAGAGTGCCTTCATATTGCAACTTTTACAACCTTGTAATGTCGCAAAGCAATTCACAGCCAATTAAATACTTTTAAAATGTGATTAATGTTCTAACATGACAACCTGTCTTTGCTAAAATAGAGGTAAACTCGTCAACCAGACCTAACAGAAAAATTGCACCAGCAGGTGTAAACTCATTTAGCCCAGGTATCTTTTTGTAATAATATTAGGGAAGGAACAAATGTTGGCCAGATCTGATTCAAAATCTTTGCTGTTTGTTACGTCATGCTGTACAACCATCAGTGTTGGTAGTTAGGCTCTCATTTGTTTAAAGTCTCATTTGGAACACATCTCTCGGATCTCCACCAAAACCACTAAGCAACATGATATGCCCACCTCTTGGAGCAGGAATTGAACCCGTGGTGATTTGGTTCAAATACAAGTGTGTGGCAACAGAATCATAGCTGACAGCAAAGATAAAGCTAATTCCTAAACAAGGCATAAAGAAAGAGAAAGAGTCGAATTTCCTCCTCAAATTGACGAGGTGGGAGGGGGAGTTGCTGAGATTGGCTGACTGTGATGCTTCACTTAGATGCTTCTATTTATACCCTACTCCACTTCACAATATTGCAAGATAACCCAGGAGCATCCCTTCTAAAAAAAAATTATAACCTATTTAAATTTAGCACATCTGTCTGAAGCTTGTTTCAGAGCGTGAAGTATCTGATTATTTAGTATTCAACTTGTCCAAGAATCCACGCTGTCTGCATTTTTTTACGTATGTCAGCATGATAGTTCTATCACTGTCTATTTTGTTGTACAGACACCTGTTGGTTAATAGTAAAGATTTTACTTTAAGTGTAATGATGCATTTCAGGGGTTTTATTTCCAAAATTGGTTTGTACTTTACTATATGGTAGCAAGTACACATTTTAAATAGCACATATTTCTTCAAAGTCCATTTTTAACACTGTACCTATTCACAAGTGTACAAATATCATCCATTATTACCACCAAGTGTACAAACTACTCATTAGACATTGGTAACAAATAAGGTCAACGGAACCATGGCTGAAACTTGTACCACAGCACCATCTCATGGGTGTTACAGTTATTATGTTGCAAGTGGGTGATGCTTAATCTAATACATAATGAAGTAAACTATGAGAACAAAGTGCAATCTCTTGAGGGACTTTTAAATCCTTTAACATTGCCCTCTTCTTGGTCTTGCTGCAAAGGTTCAGACTATTGAGTCATGTTTACTGTATGTGATAGTTGGACAAAACAAATTTTTACTTAATGACCGTAAGACAGGATTAAAATATTGAGCCTGAACCAAATTTGATGAGACTTGTTTTTCAGTTCTCTTCAGAAATTTTTAAAAGGAAACTTAATTCAAGTCTTCAGGTAACTACTTGATAGTGAATTTGCTCATGAACTTTCACAATCTCTGAGGCATCTATAATTTTCCCAGTTGTCTCATTCCTATTGTGATGTTTCATGACGTGTAGCAAATATTTGTCGGCTCTGTATCTTGTTTGTAAACAATTAGTATTGATGGCACTAATTATAATGTATTTAGAATATAGCTAAGGAGAACCGTGTAAAGAGTAGTTTTAAAGTAACTTTTCTACATTTGCAATGTGCTGGAAGCAGCAACTAGAATGTAGCAACATAATAACTGTAATACTTCTTCTGTTTCAGAACAAAAACGACGCAAGCTTGATTCCCACTCTTCACCATCACATTCCACTACTGTAAAGGTTAGTATAGCCTAAGGAAGGCACCGTCAATATTAGGCTGTCCTGTTTGGAATACCGGTTTTCTGGAAATAATCGTCATCCTTCAAGTGATACAAGGTGCACAATGGAGCCTCTGGAGGTTTCTTTTAAATAGAAAATGCATTCATTTTCTTTATTGGACTTTTTAATAAGCAAATTTTATATAAAAGGCTTCAAGGACCTAGCGAAAATTGTAAATAGTAAGAGGAAAATGCAAGAATATTTTTCTCCGAAGTGCCTCAAAATTGTATTAAGTGGTCAGTTTTTGGAGAGCAATAATGCTACAAGCAAAATAAATTCAAAGTGGAGTCGCAAACGAGGTGCCGGCACTGAGTGAGAAGAGTGTTTCAGCACTGAAGAATGTTGGAGTTGTTCAGAATTACCGGATACCTCTGGATACATGAGGCCTGCTGATGAGCATACTACCAATTCGTACCTTCTAGGAAGGAAGTAATGGAGGGGATTCCATTAAAGTCTTAATATCTCCTTGGTGATCAGATCTCCTGTAGTTGTGTAAATTCTATCAGCCTGCAGCTGTTGTTAGTATCTTCCCTTCGTGGGTTTATTTTCCCTTGGGGGTGCCAGCCTTTTGAATCCTGCCTTAGGAAAAGCAGATATGGCAGCAAAGCCCGCCTTCCAGCCAAGAGGGCCGATGGCATTCTACGCAGCACGAAACCTGGGTGTATCCTAATAGAAGATTCAGGGCAGATGCTTCCTTGCTCCGTTTGCTGTATTTATTTTAATGTAGATGAACCCCCACGAATCCTTGAATTTGCAGTGGGTTGAAACTTCGAGCTGTAAGTTCCAATTCCTGGATGCAGTGCACTCGAGGGAGGTTAAAGAGCCCATTGTGGTTTGTTGAGCTGCACCTATTTACAAAATTAACATTTTTTGCATTGAAGTTAATTGTTCACTTAGTATACTTACACGGGAAACCGAGTTCCATAATGTAATCAAATTTAAAGATATAGTTTAACTTATTTGACATTGTGCATATTTGTTAATAGTAAAGATTTTACGTTAAATGTTATTGTAATGATGAATTTCAGGGGGTTTTATTCCATAATTGGTTTGTACTTTACTGTAAATTAGCAAGATAGTTAATATATGCACCACAGTCATGAACAACAGTGTCAGATGTAGATTTAAATGATATACCTAAAAGAGTTTGAAAAACCATTTCTCTCGTATCAAACTGTTTCCTGGTACACAGATTTTTAAATGCATTATTGTCAAGTTTTCTGTCTTGCCCAGTAAGCATAACAGTTCCTAAAGCCTAGTTCCTAAAGGTGTAACTGCATGTCAGAAGCAAGACATTACACAGGTCGTCAACTTGCATCCCAAAGTCCTCTGGTGTCTGAGAAGCGCCGCAGCTCATCTGTCATCTCCATTCATTCCTACAGGATGGTCTCGGAGATCACAAGGAATCTTCAGCAAAGGTTTGACTTTTGAGCTTTATCTTGAGATTTGAGCCTTATTTTAACCATGTTATTTTTATTGGTAAACTTTTGTGAGAAACATAGCATTTTTAATGATTTTATTCGCTGTAATTTTGCAATATTTTGCTGCTTACCAGTTATAAATATTCAGTGGAGTTATTTTTCCTGACAGTTTCTAAAATGCTTCAGTTCAAGTTTTCTAATTTTCTGTTTCTTTTTGGTATATTATTTACTTCTGTTAAACTGAGCCAAATGTTGACAGCATTAGCTTTTTTAAAGCATTGCACACAGAGCAGGAACATGTTTGTTCTTGGTTTAAATCAGATCAGAGAATCCCTACAGTGTGGAACCAGGCCATTCGGCCCAACGAGTCCACACCCAACCCTGCAAAGAGCATCCCACCCAGACCCACCCTCTACACCATCCCTGTAACTGCATTTCCCATGGCTAATGCACCTAACCAATACATCCCTGAACACCGTGGGCAATTTAACATGGCCAATCCACCTAACTTGCCCATAGTGGGAGGAAACCAGAACACCTGGCAGAAACCCACGCAGACATGGGGAGAGCATAGAGACTCCACACAGACAGTCACTTGAAGTTGGAATTGAACCCGGATCCTTGTTGCTGTGAGGCAGCAGTGGTAACAACTGACCCACTGTGCCACTCCGAAATTCAGCTGCATGTGTACTCTGCTTCTGGTGAAGGGGATAAAAACATATTTTGAATCTTCATTATGATTCAGGACTGCCTGCAAAAATGTGAATGTGACACGAAGATTGGATCAGGCTTGATTGTGGTGCCCTTTGCAGTTGAATTGCTGACCAGTGCAGTATGGTTAGATTTGCTTATGAGGAATAGCCTGTAGGTTGGTTACTGGGGTGTCATTAGAGGAGGTGAAGATGTGTTGCTGTCGGTGCCAGGCAGATTAGATGCTGTAACAAATCAGTCCCATCAAAACTGAAAAGGAGAAAACTCAGGATGTGCATGTATTAGGGGGGAATAAGCAATGAAATTGGAGTCCTGAAAATTCTCAGCAGTTGATTGGCTGGTTTTATAAATCGTATTAGACTTGATTCAAAATTGAACTTTGATCTATGCATAAAAGCAAAATACTGTGGGTGCTGAAAATCTGAAATAAGAACATAATGCTGGAAAAGTCAGCAGGTTAGGCAATGTCTGTGAACAAAAATAAAGTTAATGTTTTAAATCAATGACCTTTCTTCAGCACTTCCAAATCAAGCTCCGATGAAAATATTAACACTGTATCTCTCTGTAGGTATTGCCTGACTTGAGTTTTTCCAGCAAATTTTGCTTTTGATCTTTGTGGATTTTTGCTACAATGATATTTGCAAGTAACTAAACGTAATCTGAGAAATCCATAAATTGAAAAGAAATATTGTACTTTGATATTGATTTTGATGCAGTTTTGCACAAATACTGAACAAGCTTAAATGATGGCTCCTTTGCTCAAATGTTTAAATTATCAAAGTTTACAATTACCTTTGCAAAGTGCAAGATTGACTGTATAAATGTGCTTGAAAATTCTGTGAACTAACACACTTCTAATTTGTGTTATTTATTTCTTGTGATAAATTACACTAGCTTGTTAGCTTGAATTGGCATTTAAAGCACACCGTAATAAATTTTGAAAATACAACCCAATTTTCCAATGGCAAGTGTCTTTTAGTAAGTTGTTAAAACTGGGTTTCACCTGATCAGTAAGTCAACGGGGTGACATTCATTTTTTATTTGAACAAAACAAAATGTTATTCACTGTACTGCAGATATCTTTCGTATGCCCTTTTAGACTCCAAAATATAATGACCGTTATTGTACACCTTCATGAAACATTCATTTTCTGGGTTTGACAGTCAGAGCAAAATTGTCACTCAAATTAATTTCTAACTTGCAAAGCTCAAAGTAATTTTTCTTCCTTCATCCATCTACTTAAACCATCTAGATCAATAGAAAAACTTAACATTTCGTAGCAACCAATCTTTTTCAGCTGTTTGTGTATAGTTTGACAGAAAGTAATCACATAAAATACTTCTGCATATGTTACATATCTCTAACCATTTTGAGCTGGGGTGAGGCAATGTCATAGTGATGATGTCTGTGAAGTAGTTATCTAAAGGATGTTCTTGTTAGAGTGAAAGGTAAGGATGGTAAGATGAGGGAGCAACGAATGAATAAAGGTATTGAAATTCTAGTCAAAAGTAAAGAAGAACCGTATATTAGATATGGACAACTGGGACCGAATTAATCTCATGAAGAGTATAAAGAGTATGGAGGCATTCTTAAGAGGGAAATCAGGAAGGCAAAGAGGGGATATGAGATCCTTGGCAGGTAAGGGTAAGGATAATCCAAAGAGATCCTACAAGTACATGAAGAACAAAAGAGCAACTAGAGGGAGAGTAGGGCCCCTTAAAGATCAACCAGATTGTCTTTGTGTTGAGCCTCAGGAGAGGGAGAGATATTAAATGAATATTTCACATCAGTTTTCACTGTGAAGAAGCAGATGCTATAGAACTCGGGGGAAATAAATATTCACATTAGAGAAAAGGAAGTGATGAAGGTCTTAAAAAAACATAAAGATGGATTCATTTCCGGGACCTGATCAGGTGTATCCCAGGGTGTTGTGGGAAGTTAGGGGGCCTGCAATTTCCTTCCGTGTTTGTTTCTGACTTCCAGTATCTGCAAATCTTTTGTTTTTTTTTTATTAAGGATAACACCATGTTAGCTTTCCTACTTGGTTGTTATACCTGCATTCAAACCTTTTACAATTCATGCACTAAGACACCCAGATAATCTGCATCTCAGAGCTCTGCAATCTCTCACCATTTACATAACTTTTTTTTCATTCTTCTGCCAAACTGGACCAATTTCACATTTTCCTGCCGTATGCTCCTTTTGCCACATCCTTGTCCACTCCCTTAATAATGTCTCTTTATATTAGTCTTCCTCATAACTTAGTTTCCTATCTGTCCTTGCCTCATCATCAACTTTAGCAACTATACCATTGGTCCATTTATCCAAATCATTTATAGAATTGGTTAACAAAAAAATTGAGACTCCAGCATTGAACCCTATGGCACACCATTTGTTAGATCTTAGCAATCTGAAACTTACCTGTTTAGGCCTGCTCTGTAACTGGCCAACAAGAAACTATCATCTGTTCAGGGTACTCTTACCACCTGCACCATGATCTTTTCTGGTTCATTCAACACAGATTGGGCAAATGTGAGTCTCCATTCTTTGTGGCTTTGTTTTGCACACAATACGTTTTCCCAATAACTTTGTTGTTTTTCAAAAGAGCTGCTATTCAACCAGTTTAAACTGGCCTACTGAAGGATCAGTACTAAGTGCAATGTTGAGCATTAACACTGCACGCATCATTAGATTGTATGGACATTATCTTTTAAATAGCTGATTTGGCACATTCCAATGATGGAATATTTTTCTTTATTTGACTTTGCACATTCTTTAGTTCAAGTTATAAATCTGAGAGTGGGAAATTCTAATAATGTATGTGCTTTAGTGAATGAAGAACTAGCAAACTTAAGAAAGACTGATGTTTTTTTTTCCAACTGAGATGTTTGAAAGTTTTTGGTGTTTTAGAAGGAGCACTTGATAGTTTCCTCTGCTGCCTATTTTGCAGGTTGCATGGTGTTTTCACTTCGTCTGATTCTTACACTGATAGAATCTGCTAAAACTTCATCACCACAACTCAGAAATCCTTAAATAATTCTCACATTGTAGTTATCCTCAGATTGTGGTCATAGTTCTTTCTGAGAGGGGTCAGTTATGCATTCAAATTTCAAATTATCAGTTAGTATGGTGGTGACTGATGTTGCACCTATTTTTGAGTTGCTTCCAGCTAAATGTTCTGAGGAGTACATTATGTTGTTATTTGAAAAGGAGCAGCAGCGTTTTTGCTCTTGGGCTTCCTTTAACATTACACTTGGCTTGGTTGGTTTAGTTCCTGGTTAGAATTTTACAAAAAGAAATGAAATATACCCTCAAACCAATTTTCCAGTTTCCTTTTTCAATTTCCTGTTCCTCTTTTTTGTTTGCTTGCTTCTGTTTCCTTTCCTTCGTTTGCTTTCTTTTACATCTTTATTTTCTCGATTTTTCTTAGCCAGTCTTCCTTCTCTCTCTGACTCTTTCTCTTGATCATCCCACTCTCTTTTATCCTGTTTTCCCCAGGTCCTCCTTTCCTCTCTTCCCAACCCATCCTTCTCAAACCTTCCTTAGCATTAAAAAAAACTGATGTCATAAAGGGAGCACATTTTATTTAACACGTTTGTTTTTGTGTGTCTAGTCAAAGAGCTGCTGTGAAATTGAGAAACCATAAGCAGTTCTATTCAAAAATGTTGTGAAAACTGTTAGTTATTTTTCTTATAATTTAAAGGTGATTACTTTGACTTGAACTGGTAAGCAAATTGAGCCTGGTCTCGAGCTTTAATGGCTGTCAGTCAAATAGATTAGTTGTGGGCTTAGCTGTTGTCTGCTGGTGGAGCTGTTGGTATTACGGTGGGAGCTTTCACCTCTGCGTTAGCCTTTCCAAGATAGATGTAGCACTGGTTTGGTTTTCTATGTAACTGGAGCAACAACCTTTGAATAAGAGAGCAACGATTGTGGGTGTTTACTGTTCATATTCTCCTGTTCTATAAAATATTGGGCCTTGACAGTTTTGTAGTTCTATAAACACAATGGACTGTAATTTCATATGGTTGGGCATTTGCAAAGCTTTGTCTACACACTTGAGCTTTACAGTTTGTTCCCTGAAAAGTTGTTGAATAAGTGATCTGCTAACAACCAGAGAGGGAAACAGGGCATCCTGAGGATCAAATGAATAGATAACTCAAGACACGAGGCGGCTTGGTGGCACAGTGGTTAGCACTGCTGCCTCACAGCAACAGGGACCTGGGTTCGATTCCACCCTTGGGCGACTGTGTGTGGAGTTTGCACATTCTCCCTGTATCTGTGTGGGC